TGGGCCTGGCAGGCGCTAGCGGGTGCCCCAGGTGGCTGGATTCCTGCGGCCGCTGGCACCCGCTCCTGTGTCTTGCGGGACTCGCGCTTCCTCTCTGACTGCGCTCACTGTCCCCGGCCCACGTGGCAGAACTGCGTACACGCTCTTTTGGGAGCTTCCGGCTTCCTTTTCCTTCCAACTTAACGCCTTCTCAGAGCTGAAGTTTACTGCGGTGCAGTGCTGTGGGGATTCTGAGACTTTTTAAACACACGGAGAGGAGTACAGGGTACAGGGTTCCTTCCGCAGGACCACTCCCAGGTTGCAGGCCTCTGGCTTGAAACGGCTTTGTTTGCAACCTTGAGAGTGGGAGCTCAGTCTCCTTGTACCCTAGGTCCTCAGAGACCTCCTCACAAGGGATCTTGGTGTGGTGGGAAGCTTTGGCCCTAGCGCTCTGAGTTCTGAGGGTTGCAGCCAGCTTCTCTGGGTCTTTAAACACTCCTTTCTTGGCTGTTGTCTCCAGAGACAGGAGGGTAGAATTACAGTGCCTGAGGATGGACTGATATAACATAAGACCTCATCTCATCATCTCGGCTGTTTATTATTGGTTAGGAACACATTAACTTGTTTGATTTTTAGACATTTTTGACCGACAGAATGGAAGGTGGGAGGCCTTCTCCAAACATCTTCTTGATTTTCTACACTGGGTGCAGATCTCCAGGGAAAAGGCAAATCTGGGTGTCAGCGTATCAGCCAGAGTGACTAGTTTATTAGGGCCTCTCAGCTTTTACTGAGCCACTTGTGATGAGAGCCAGGGTGGGGGTGTTGCAGTCGGAATTAGACATGAAATGTCTTTGCCAGTTTGGAAAGAATCTTGCATTCAGCAAATATTTATAGAATGCCTCTCCCATGCCAGCAGGGAACAAGATAGAAATGGTTTGCATGGAACTCACGTGCAAAATGAGTCCCCTTGGGCACCTGTCTATAAAGCTGGGGGTTTTCTGTAGAGTTTACTGGAAGGGGGTAGAATTCTGATGCCTGTATTGCATATAGTTGACATTTATTAAATGGGAGTGCTTCTAAGAGTGTGTGTGTGTGGGGGGGGATACTGGGATTACTTTTGAATTATCTTGGGGCAAACTAGGTGGTGTGGTGGTGGTAGTGAAGATGGCTGAAGCCCACACGGCCAACTATGTGGTTCAAGTCCCAGACCCTGCTTGAAGAAACACACCAGGCACGTGTGTGTTTGTACCCAAAATCCCCAGAGGAAAATGGAGGAGAAGGGATTGCCTCAGGTGTGGTCACCCCCTATGGGGGAAGTGTTTTCTCACATTCCTTCCCTCTCTCTCTCTCTAGCATGCACACACACCCTATAGCCAATTAAAAATAAATAAGCAGTTTGGAATGATCTTTTCGTCAACAATTAGAGTATTATGTAAGGTATCATTACTAGGCCACAACTTTTCACCTTTTCCTTACAGGAAAACACTAGACTAGTGTTAAAAACAGAGTGGGGTTATGTTTAAAATAGCCTCACTTTAATCTGGAGAGCATTTTCCCTGCCACTTGATTTCCTTGTAAAATTAATGTGGTGCATTTAAAGTGCAGAATGGGCAACGTGATTAGAGCCTTGATGTAAATATTGGATGATGCATATTTTTGGTCTTGGCAAGCTGCTGGATTTAAACAGGGTACGAATGGCATAAGACTGCCTGCTGATCTCTTTGAGTTTAGAAGACATGGCCGCTTGGGAACCAGCAGTTAGTGTAATGGCTATGTCGCTGGACTCCCACATAGTCGACCGCGGTTCGTGTCCCGGACCCGGTGGCTTAACACTCACGCTGTGTGCGTGTGTGCCCAAGATCCTGAGAGGAGAATGGAGGAGAAGGGATTGCGGCGTGACCATCCCCCCTGGGGGGTGATTTCTCGCTTTCTGTCTCTCTGTCTCTCTCTGTCTGGCGAGCGTACGTGCCCTATAGCGAAAACCTCTCCAAAAAAAAAAAAAAGAAGACATGGCCGCTTCGCTGTTGAGAATCCATGATGCCAGCACCATCTCCGCAGATTGCTAAGGCAGTAACAGCCTACGTAGAAAACACAGGTGCCAGTGTCCGGAGCAAACAAGGCTGAGGAAAACCACATCCTACCCCCAAATCATAGAATGGTGGAGCTGGAATGTCTTTCAAGACCATATAGCCGCATACACCTCTTTCTGCAGACATAAAACTGAGGCCCAGGAAGGTGTGCTAAGGTGTCCAGAATTCCCACAACTGGACCTATATAATGACAGAACAGGGCCTCAAGCCTGGCCTTCTACCAGCTAGATAGCAGGCACTTGTGAAACCAGAAGTGTGGCCTCTGGGCCCTGTTTCATTGTGTGAGTAGAAGAGGTGACCCAGCCTTAAGGAAGAGGGGGTGTAGGTGCAAGCATAAGGCAGCCACCCCAGAGCCCACCGCATCCCACCTAGGAATGAGTGTAGGCCACACATCTGTGTGTCCGGGCCCCATGAATGTCGCTGGCAGGTGGCAGATGCCTGATTCGCTGCCAGTTTCATCTGGTCACTTAAACAGCGGTTCAGCTGAATGAGCAGGGAAGTGGTGCTGCAGCTCCCAGGGGAGGAAATTGCTGTGGAGCTGAGAGACGCCTCAGCCCAGCGCCACTGCGTCCTCATCAGCACACTCTGAGGTGCCACAGGTTAGGACTCAACGTATGAATTTAGGAGGACACAGTTCAACCATAACCTTCACCTACAAGGGTGGCTTGCAGAGGGGGATGTCTTGTCAAAGATGGAGTCACCAGCTAGCCCCATGGGCCTACGGCCATCATGCAGGCTTGGAAAGACCTCCCGGGCTGAGACCTTTGACCAAGTCTCCATGTAGCTGGGCTTCCAGGATTTTGCAGGGTCCAGGTTGCTCAATAATGACAGCTTCTGTCTGCTTGCCACAGTAGTTATTGGCAACCAGAGCTGAAGGGTAGAAGTGCTCAGATCAGGGACAGTGCCGACCCGGGCTCTGGCTGTTTCACCTCGTCACGAGCTTGAGGCACTCAAAGGCAGACTCAGTCTGCCTGGCACGAACTGGTCTCAACTGCTCAGGGTTACAGTGTTTTGAGATTAGGGTGCTGGATTTAATGCAGTGTGTCCACGTAGCAGAGCGATCGCAAGAGGTTCCTGAAACACAGTGAGGTAGTGACATTTCTCAGGACCAGGTCCCAGGAGAGAAAGACACAGGGCAGGGCTTAGTATGAACCCTTCCAGCCTCGATGCAGGTAGCCGTTCTGACCAAGTAAATCGAGCTTTGGAGATAAGGCTTTCCTAGTCTAAAGAGGAAGTCAGACCCTCCTCTCTCTGAGATTAGCCCAGTGATCTGTCATCCGTCATGGGAGAAACATGGGATGAACGACCAGCTGTTAAAAACTGACAACGACTTGACTGACCAGAGGAGTCCCTGTTTCAGACTGATATTTTGTATAATGAAGACGTTTTGATGAGGCAGAAATTCCATCTCAGGCCTTAAACACATTTCCTGCTTCTAGCCCAGAAGGCCTGGTAAGTCTCATTCTTGTTTCCTACCTTTGAACGAGATCATAGACAAGGTCCTCCCCTCTGAGATGGCTCGCTCGGGTGGCCAGACTCAGTTTCTGTGCTTGCTCGGTGGCCTTGGCCAAGAACTTAACCGCTGTGAGCATCGGTCTCCGAATGACGTGGAGACAATAAAACATTTCCAGTAAGGTCTAATGCTGTAAAGGACTCCAGCTGACACTGGGAGACAGCACTTCCTAGTGAGTAAGCCCCCAAGACCTGGGTTCCTATCCCAACTTTGCTTCTTAGGATTTATTGGACAAGCTTTTTCATTTTTGTGCTTTTCATCATTTGTAAAATGGGTGTTAATATGAAAGGCCTGTCTGTTGGGTGTTTGTGATGATGAAATGAGTAGGCCACTGATGGACTTAATAAGTGCCTGTGGCAGGTAAATACTCAGGTGTACTTGATTACCAAGACGGGTACAGATTGTTCAACCTAGAGGCTCTGGCCTGTGGACAGTTGGGCTGTCTATCCCAGTTGTACTTTGCTGTAGTGCCAGCAGGTGGCGACATTGGCCACATCTTGGCTTTCCTGGTCTCCATTTTAGAGGTCCAGTTCTCTGGTGTGTGCAGCAGGATTCAATCGTTACATTTCTCCCTGTAATCTTTGCAAGATGTGATTTCCATAAACAGCCAGAGCCAGTTGGATGACTGGATGAGGTTTTTGAAGATCCCATCCCAGCCTTTCTGCAGACAGTAGCCACTCCTCTTGCTTCCATGTCCAGTACTGCACAGTCCTTGCTGAGGACTGAGTCGCAGGGTCATTGTGCAGCCTGTGGTGTAGACTGAAGCTTCAGGCTGCTGGGGGTGAGCTGCATGTCAGCAGGCCATCTGGTTAGAATTTTTTTTTTTTTTTCCTTCTTGGTTTTCACTATCGGGTACATGCACTCAGCTCACTAGAGAGAAACGGAGGGAAGTGAGACATCAACCCTCAGTGAGGATGGCCGCACCACAGTCCCTTCTCCTCTCAGGAGTTTGGACACGCACGCACACACACCTGGTGTGATTTCCAAGCCACCAGGTCCAGGACTCAAACTGCTCAGTTGGCCAAGTGGGATCCAGAGCCTTAACCTGCATGCCCCCTGATGGCCCTGGCTAGCTTTTCTTAACCTGTTGCCATGCTGGACTAGCTCCTAGACTGAGACGGTAGCTCCAGAACAAAGTCAGGTGTGTTTTGTGTAAATGGACCTGAGAGCTCAATGTTGAAATCAGAGTCCGAGATCCCATGGCCCAGGGAATATCCAGAATCAGCCAAGTCTACATGATAATAAGTTAAAAAGCCAGTTTTCATAGCTGGGACCCTAAAGAGTGGGCTGTGAGTAGTTTCAGAGCCAGCGGTTCATTTCTGACCAGGATGAAAACATGAGCTGGGCCATTCACCAGCCTCCAGTGAGTTGTGGTGCTTCAGAGGTTCGTGAGATGAGAGAAAATGGAGAAGCCAGGCTAGAGGAAGGGTTAGGATTGTGGGGGAAAAAAAGGAAAGAAATTAATTTATATCAAACTAGCATGATTTAAATATATTGATTTAAGTGAACACATGTTGATTTTTGAAAAGTATGACATTGGTTAGTCTTCACTTACTAACGTTAATTGACCTGCAATCTATAGCCTGCTGTAGTTTCAGTAATGTGCCACAAGGTGGCAACAACGTCAAAAACTGACTTAGCCGCTTTGGGAAATTACAAGGACACTTGACATTATGTAAACTTGTCGGAAACCAGCAAAGTTCTTCAGGAAAATCTTGATAAACTGTCCTTGTGTTCTTCTTTTGTTGTTTTGTTTTGTTTTGTTTGTTCAGGAAATTGAGCGCTATGGATTTAACCATCTTCTCACATGCTGATATAAATCAACTTGTGTTAACTTGACCTGAAAATGTACTGAGTTTAGATGTTTGATTAATTCTTAACTCAGGAATTTTTCTCCAAAAGCTGCTTTCTTCTTTTTATTTAGTAGAAATTTTACTGAAGTGACAATAGCTACCATGTCAGGTGAACACTTAGAGGATAACACTAGGTTTTTGTTTGTTGTGTTAGAGAGATTTCTGCTATAGGGTGCATGCACTCGCCGGAGAGACAAAGTGAGAAATCACTCCCCAGAGGAGGTGGCCACACCGCAGTCCCTTCTGCTCCTCCTGCTGCATTCTCCTGTCGGGATTTGGTGCACACATGCACATGCGGCTGGTGTGAGTTTGAAGTCACCCGGTCTGGAACTCGAACGGAGGTCAGCCATGCGGGAGTCCAATGACACAGTCTTTACGCCATCTGCTGGTCCCTTTTTTTTTTCCCCTTAAAGTTTATTTATTTCTTGAGGGAAGCAAGGAGAGGGAGGGGATTGGTGCAACTCCCAGCAGGGTCTTCACAGCCTGCCGCCCCTAGTCTCAGCCGGTGTGGTCATGGCAACTGCAGGTGTGTTCAGGGAGGGCGCTGGGTGCAGACTCTCATCCCTTCCCATGTACGTCCAGCTGAGTTACTTCTGTGCTCTGGGCTGGCCCAGGACCAGGTTTCTTTAGCTCGCTCTAGTCCCTGAGGGCAAGGGTTTTCAAGATAATCAGAGAGATGCAGTATGATGCTTGGTCTTGAAAAAAAAAAAAAAAGTACGCCTACCTTTGAATTACTTATTTATAGTTACAGAAATGTATAAACTTGCTTTGCAATTTAGTTCTAATTCAGATAGTCAGAAATAAATGTGATAGAATCCAAAAAGGTGACCTACACTTTAGTTATCTCTGGAATATAGAACACCTTCAAGTGTTTTATTTTTATAGACAGCCTTTAAATATTTGCTGGGTTTTTTTGTCAGTAATTTCTAGATTTTTAAAAATAATTAGGGCTTAGGAGGAATGGAGAAAAACACTATTAAAAATAAATTTGTTTAAAATAATGCTTTTGTTTTTGATGAAAAATGATGAACTATGATAATTTTTTGTCCCTCTTTTTCTTTCTTAGATTGGAATAATTGGTGGGACAGGTCTGGATGATCCAGAAATTTTAGAAGGAAGAACTGAAAAATATGTGGATACTCCTTTTGGCAAGGTATTAATATCCAATTACTGGAGACATGTTAGCTTTTCCATTTCTCTTTGTTGGCTTGATTTCGAAGTGAAAAAATAAAAAAATGGGGGTCCTGCAGGTGGTATAGTGGTTAAGACACTGGACTTTCATGCTGTCAACTCAAGTTTGAGTCCCAGACCCAGCAGCTTGAAACTCCATACCTGGCACGTGTGCATGCATGCCCAGGATCCCAAGAGGAGAATGGAAGAGAAGGGATTATGACATGGCTTTCTCCCCTGGGGGTGATTTTTTGCTTTTTCTCTCTGCCTCTCTGGCAAGCACATGTACCCTATGACAAAAATCTCCAAAAAGAAAAAAGAAAAAGAAATATATATATGTATATATATCATACTAGGTGTGTGTACATGCCTACCCAAATTCCCTACAGCAAAATAGAGGAAAAGGGGGGGCCAGCAGATGGCATAGCAGTTACATTGTTGGACTCCCTCATGTCCAGCTGCGGTTTGAGTCCCAGACCCGGTGGCTCGAAAATCACTGGAGCATGTGTATACGTGCCTAAGATCCCAGGAGAAGAATGGAGTAGAAGGGATTGCAATATGACCATCCCCCCAGGGGGTGATTTCTCACTTTCCCCCTCACTGTCTCTGTCTCTCTCTCCAGTGAGTACATGCACCCCCAGGCAAAAATCTCTACCCAAAAAAAAAAAAGAGAGAGAGAAGGGATTGTGGTGTGACATCGCTCCTGGGGGATGATCTCTCTCTCTCTCTCTCTAAAACAAACATACAAACCAAAAAAAAAAAAAAAAAAAAAAAAGCTTTGATTTTGGCAGCACAGGGCTGTCTGTTCTAGGCAGAAAAGTCCTGCCACTGGGTTCCTCAGCTAGTTATTCATAAGGATACCTCCAACTTCTGTTTTAAGAACATGGCTTTGTGTACAACAATTTCTCAATTTGTATTGCTAGAAGATAGGCACCCACATCACCCCTAGTAACTGTACTATTCAAATCTGCATTCAAATCAGCTTCTCATTTGGAGCCAGCAGATGCTCACACCACACTAATTTGGGGGAGCAGCTGATGACTAATGGGCCCAAGTATCAAATGCTTGACTGAATTGGAAATGAGAAAGTCCCTTTTTTTCTTTCTTTCTTTCTTTTTGAGTTTTTTGCTTTAGGGCGTGTGCGCTCGCCAGAAAACCAGAGAGAGACAAAAAGCGAGAAATCACTCGCTTTTTGTGATTGGGATGGCCATGCCGCAATCCCTTCTCCATTCTCTCGGGATCTTGGGCATGCACGCATACGCGTCCAGTGTGAGTTTAAGCCACCAGGGCCGGGACTCGAACTGTGGTCGACTACATGGGAGTCCAGTGACAGCCATTACGCCAACTGCTGGTCCTAAGAGAGAGTTCTTTTTCAAGGGAAGCTGCTTATTCTCCAAGCCCCAGTGTCACCTGGCCTAGACCTTCTAATGCTATATTGCCACTTCAGGCACTGTTGTTCTCCCCCTCCTGTGACGATCTTTGTACCTGACCATCCCAGCTAAGCCCTCTTTTTCAGCTAAAGCCTTAGATGGACCTTGTGTCCTCCAAGTCCTGCCGTCATCCCAGCTCATTTCTTAGCCTTGTGTTCTCTCAACCTCCTTGGTTCTAAGGCCCCTCTCCCTGCCACCTCACGTTACCCCCTGGCTCTTGCAGACCTGGCTAGCGCAGATCATTTGGCTCCAAGTTCTTAAATCCATGGCAGTGACCTCCTAGCCCTTCTGCCTGTCACTCTGAAACCTGCTCTTGAATCTGCCAAACACCACTGACACATTTGGTCAGTTAACCATCAGTTTCTAGGGTGCTGTTTACAGAGAGATCTTATTTAAATTGTATCTACGCAGGCACCTGAGGCCACCTGCAGAGTCTCGTGACTCAGCCTGTAGAGGGCTCAGTAAATATTGAATTTATGCGATCAGTCGGATGTAGACTCTTCCCTAAGCTTATCTTCACACTCCAAGCTTCCGTCAATCTGTCTGTGTTCAGTAGTTCATGTAACCGCTTTTCCATTGTTTATTTGTGGGGGAGGGGTTTAAATCACTGAGGTGTAACCACTTTTCGTTGTGTACAGCCATCCGATGCCCTCATTTTGGGGAAGATAAAGAACGTTGATTGTGTCCTGCTTGCCAGGTAAGGGATTTTAAGCTTTTCAAATATTATTTCTCAAAGAAGATTTAAATTAAGCTTAGATTCTGAAAAGAGTAATTATGTAGGTGGGAGGTTTTTTGGGTTTTTTTTTTTTTTTTTGGAGAGGTTTTTGCTATAGGGCGCGTGCGCTCGCCAGACAGAGAGAGAGACAGAAAGCGAAAAATCACCCCCCAGGGGGGATGGCCACACTGCAATCCCTTCTCCTCTCAGGATCTTGGGCACGCACGCACATGCACCCAGTGTGAGTTTAAGCCTCCGGGTCCGGGACCCGAACCACAGTCGACTGCGTGGGAGTCCAGTGACATAGCCATTACGCTAACTGCTGGTCCCTAAGTGGGAGTTTTTAATGTGTTGAGGCTCGAGTATTTTAGCCACCTTTATTTTTTTACTACCTGTAGTTTGGGACAAGTGACATCAACTTCAGAGGTCAAAGATCAGGTCTCCCCTGAAAGAAATAATCTCAAATTGAAACTCTGGTTTCAGTTCTAGCTGCAAAAAGACATGCTTTCTCTTGTCTCTTATTTTTCCCTTGTAAATATCAAGATAATGAAAAACAGTACTTCGTTCGTGTAGGAGTAGTTGTATGTTTGGGGAGAGTGGGTTTAGGGCCCCTAAACTGGGTTACTTATATCCATACCCTTGTTGCTTTGACAAGGCTAACCCTCCATACTATAGAAAGGCAAGTCTTGTTTAGCTCATAGTTAGAAATTAGTCAGACTGCATGTAGTACTTTTCTTTGAGCATATACAGATTACCACAAATTCAGCTGGTTCGGATAGCACACATTACCGCACCATTTCTGTGGGTTGTGAGTTTAGCTCAGCTTGCTGGGTTTTCTGCTCTGGGTTTTATATCACTGTATAAAGAAACGGAAGTAGCTTTTCAGAATGAAGTAAAACTAAGTGGTCTCCTGGGAGGGGTGTCAGGTGAACGTCTTTATTGGTCTGTGGTGGGTCATTTTTTTCCAGGCCCTACAAGAAAGCAGTGTATAGGACAACCCTGGGCTTGTATTCTTCTCTTGAAGTAAGCCCGTGTACCCCAGTGTGATGTGTCTGACCCCTAAAACAGTGGTTCTTAACTACTTTTGCTTTTTACATTTCTTTTGAAAAAATCTAATCAGAGTTTTGCAGACCAAACTTGGAATATACTTTCTGGGCATTTGTGAACTCCCCTCCCCACCTTCTGAACTCGGGTTCTTATAAACCTCATATAATCCCTAATATGCTATGTTTGTCTGCGGTTATATGCAGATTATTTCGATGTTTGGTTTTGTTTTCTTCCCTCTAGGGCACGTGCACTCACCAGAGAGAGAGTGAGGGAGAGAGAAGTGCTTGGCTGAAAAGAGCTGTAACACATGCTGTAGATGAATTTTCTTTTTTAACAGCATAAAATGCTTAATCACTCGTTCTATCCTCCTTCCTCAGGCACGGGAGGCAGCACACCATCATGCCTTCAAAAGTCAACTACCAGGCCAACATCTGGGCTCTGAAGGAAGAGGGATGTACGCATGTCATTGTGACCACAGCTTGCGGCTCCTTGAGGGAGGAGATCCAGCCCGGCGATATTGTCATTATTGACCAATTCATTGACAGGTGAGCAGTCATCTGTAACACCTTAGGTTCCTCATAACTGGTCGCTCCCACCGCGGGGGCTGATATGTGGGACTGGGAGTGGGGTGAAGGGCGCACAGGGCCACAGGCTGGCTTTAAGTGTTAATTATAATCACCATGCTGTACAGTAAAGCTCAAAAAAAATTTTTCCTCTTATTTCACTAGAATTTTGTATCTCTTCATGAGTATCTCCTACCACCCCTACCCCCAAGCTCTGGAAACCTCTGTTCTACTCTCTGCTCTGTGACTTCAACCCTTTTAGAGTCCACGCGTGAGGACTTCATGTATTTGTCTTTCTCTGCCTGGGTTATTTCACTTAAGCTAATGTCCTCCAGGTTCATCCATGTTGTTACACATGACAGGATTGTCTTCTTTTTTAAGACTGGATAATAGTCCATCGCACCTTTTTGCTTTTTGTTGTTATTGTTTTGTTTTGTTAGAGGGCACAAGTGCTTACCCATTAGAGGAGAGGAAAAAGCAACTCCCTCTCCCCATGGAGAATGGTCCCTTCTGGTCTCTCCCTTTCTCTCATGAAATAAATAAATAATAAATAAATAGGTGTCAAGGCAGTATTTTCCTTTGCCCTAGTATCTTTTCTTTTTTTTTTTTTGGAGAGGTTTTGCTATAGGGCATGTGCGCACGCCAGAAAGAGAGACATAGAAATCACCCCCCAGAGGGGATGGTCACGCCACAATCCCTTCTCCTCCATTCTCCTCTCAGGATCCTGGGCATGCACGAACACGCGCCTGGCGTGAGTTTTAAGCCACCGGGTCCAGGACACGAACCGTGGTCGTGGGAGTCCAGTGACATAGCCATTACGCTAACTGCTGGTTCCCTTCCTAGTATCTTATGAATTTTGTTTTTAACTGTTGATTTGTTCAAACAGGAGTCCAGAGAGGATTTCCTTGCTGTACATGTGAGCATAACGAACATGCTAATTTGGGGTTCCCAGCCCCTTTTTCCCTTTTTCTTTTGTTCTGTGGTATCGCCCCCGTCTGACTTTACTGATGCTGTCATTAAGTGTTATTTGGTATCTTCCTCTGTCCCATGTTTGCTGTAAACTGGTAGTTAGCTCTGGAAGCCCGATCAGAATCCTTGGCAAGACTCTTTCTGAATCATATCCGGAAGCATGTTACATCTGGATCATGTGGTTTGGGTCCTGGGACTTTTTTTGTTAATTAAAATGTACAAGTCGTATATAATGAAAGGTTTTGTTTTTGTTTTTCAACCTAAAAAGTTTAGCAATAATAAACTGCCAAGTTCCTGGGCCTTTTTTGTCTTTAGAAGTAGCTGAAGAAATCATGAGGGAAACCAGTAGCTTCCTAGAACCACCCCCGCCCTGTTCCTGGAGCAGTAACTGTCTCTGAGCGTGCTGTGGGCGGAGGCAGGGGCCGCTTGGACTAGAAGAGGTGGGAGGAGGACCCCAGAGTTAAACCATGTGGTGGCTCCTACCGCAGCGCCTCATCCAGGCACCCAGACTATCCCTTCAGCCCCTCTGCCCCTTCCATCTGTTATCTCTGGGCCTGCTGTACCCACGGGCCTCTTCTGCTGTGGGAGGGAGTTGTCCAGTCCAGCGCTGTTTGTCTTCTCTCTCAGGAATTCATTATAATTCTGGCCCACTGCAAACTTTTTTTTTTTTTTTTTAGTGGGAGGTGGTGGTATTTTTGACAAGAGTCTTGCCACATGGCATGTTGTGTACTTCTTGCCCCAGCCTCCTGTTCGTCTAAGACCACGGGCACAAGCCACTGCATCTGGCCTGTTCGCGTTGGGCCAGAAACTGCAACCTCACGCCACCATGCAACAGTGCCCTTACACTTGTGCCCCCATGGCTGAGCCCATCAGAAGCAATTTGGATTGTTTCCTGATAGGATGGGATTATTAGGTTGAGCCACAGGGAATTGCCCATTCTGCAGATTGGAAATGGTCGAACATCAGCAACTTTGTGGTTCAACCCAGTAAATAATGAGGTAGACTGAAATTGTTACATGTTCCTGGGACCAGCAGATAGCATAATGGTTATATCGCTGGACTCCCATGTAGTCAACCATGGTTCTAGTCCCGGACCCGTGGGCTTAAACCTTATGTTCAGTGCATGTGCATGCATGCCCAAAATCCTGAGAGGAGAATGGAGGAGAAGAGATGGCATGGCCATACCCCTTTTGGGGGGGGGGGGGGTTTCTCGCTTTCTGTCTCTGGTGAGCACACACACCCTATATAGCAAAAATCTCTCAAGGAAAAATTGTTATATGCCCCTCACTCTGCCTTTTTTACTATCACTTATTTATATTAGATGTTATGTATTAATTATCTGCTTCTAGAGAAATGTGAGGGCAAAGACCCACTCTGTCCTGTACCCTATCCCCAGTACCCACAGCAGTGCCTGGCCCACTACTCTGTCCATGTCACTCTGCCTTTTTTACTATCACTTATTTATATTAGATGTTATGTATTAATTATCTGCTTCTAGAGAAATGTGAGGGCAAAGACCCACTCTGTCCTGTTGGCACTCTATCCCCAATACCCACAGCAGTGCCTGGCCCACTACCCTGTCCATGTTTGAGTGACTGAAGACTAGTCGTTTGCAGGCTGGGGAAGTCCTGAGGTTGTGTTTAAAGCAGCTCGTTGGTCAAGCTCTACAGCTTTCAAAGCCCATGTGTTTAGAGATAATGACTCAAGAACATGATTGTAATATAACTGCTTAATAAAGCAGATTACAGGGCCAACAGATGGTGTAGTGGTTGGGGCGCTGGACTCCTACATAGGTGACCATGGTTCGAATCCTGGACCTGGAGGCTTGCTTTCCTACTGCCCCTTTTTCTCTGTCTCTTCTCTGGTCAAATTAAAACAAGTAATCACGATAATAAATTAAGTAAAATAATTATCTTAAAAATCAATCAACCAATAAAGCAGATTACAAAACTCCATATAGAGTGATCAGGATTTATAAAGTATTGTAGGTGATACTGAAAAGAAAAGGAGAAACGTCTAAATGGGGCACTGAGCCTGGGATTAATTTGTTTCTTAAGTGGTGTAACTGTATATGCTGTTGCAGCCCCGGTCACTTTCTCATGTAGGAGATGCAGACATTTCACACACTGCCTCTTTCCAGAAAGCAACTGGGCCAGAAAGATGGTGATTAGAAAGAGAATAGCTGTTGCCATCAAACCAGGGTTCATTCTTTTGGGGCTTGTCTTAGCCATGTAATCCTAAGATCTTCTGGTATCTCTTTTCTTTTTATAAGCCAGGTGGATACCCTGCCTTCTTTTTATTTATTTATTTATTTGTAAATGTTTGCCACAGGGCACATTCACTGGCTAGAGAGAAGAAACTGAGAAAGCAGTCCCCGGGACTTGGCCACACTGCAGTCCCTTCTGGATGTCTTCCTCCTTACGGGATTTTCACCCAGCATGCTTTTCCAAGGGACTCACACTTTATGGCCTGCTGTGTGGGATCCAGCCACTTGAACCACCATGCCATAGGCTGACCCTAACCTGTCTTTTTTTTTTTTTTTTTTTTCAAGTTTTTACTTTTGAGAGATTTTTACTATAGGGTGTATGTGCTCTCGGGAGAGACAGGGAGAAACAGACAGAAAGTGAGAAATCACCCCAGGGGATGGCCATGCTACAATCCCTTCTCCATTTTCCTTCTGGGATTTTTGGGCACGCACACACATGCACCTGGTGTGAGTTTTAAGCCACCAGGTCCAGGACCCGAACCGCAGTTGACTATAGAGGAGTCCAGCAAGTAACCATTACACCCACCATCTGTTAGTCCCCTAATGTGTCTTCTTAAATTTTTTTTTTTAAGTTCAGTGTCCTATCAGTTGTCTCTCATGGGATGTAACACTTGTTACATGCTCAATAGCTAGGTGCCGTTATTGTAAGTGTAGGTGTGTTGCCCCGAGGGATCGAGTAGTTAATACCACTTGGTAACTACAGCAGAAAGACTTTCTGAAAAGGAGGATCTTGGGCCAGCCTGTGACTTAGTCGTTAAGGGAGCCAGATCCCAAGTGGCTGATAGCACAGTTGGAGTCCCAGACGTAGAGATGAGAAATATGCTAGGTGTGTGTGTGCATGTGCTCAAAATCCCCAAAGGAGAAAGATGGAAGAGAAGGGATTATGGCATGACCATTCCCTAGAGAGATGCTTTCTCTTCCTTTCTCTGTCTTTCTGGCAAGTGCATATACCCTTGAGCATATTTTTTCAAAAAGGATCCCAAAGGGAATATAATTTGGCATAAAAATTAAGAGTTTTCTATTGATTACATGTTGCAGTGATAACATTTAGGATATATGAGGTTAGATAAAATTTAAAGATAATTTTGCTTGTTTCTTTCTTTTTTTAACATGGCCACTAGAAATTTTAATATTATGTGACTTAACAGCATATTGCTGCCGGCTGGCATCTTCTAAATGATACTGTCCCTACTTGGGCTGTGTGGTTTCCAGTTAACCAGGCATGGGCATCTGAATGAGTCACTGTGAGTGTGTTTGAACTCCTCATAGAGGAGAATCAGCACTTTTCACCTGTGGGTAATGCTCTGTTTGTTGTACTGATAGCATATTTTTTAAAGAATTATTTAATTTTTATTTATCATTGTTATTATTTTTAAATTTGCTACAGAGCACATACACTCACGAGAGAGAGAGAGAGAGGGAGAGAGAGAAAGCATGCTGCCAGGTCCAGGACTCAACGCACACGAGAAGGTTACTAGTTCATATCTAGAGACCTTTCTGAGTATGCAGGGCACATGTGTGCCGAGATTCAGGCTGGCTGAGGCTCGCGGTAGGTGGCAGTGTAGGACCATGCGCAGTGTTATTTTTTTTTTTCCGTTTCTCTCACTCATGGAATAAATACATACAGTTTAAAAATATACACAAAAATAGGAACTTATTCCATAAACTTAAAGGAGGCTTCTCCACAGTAGGTTCCTCATTGCCTTATACTTCCTCTTCATTGGGTTTGATTGATACATGTCTTTTT